GTCGCCCGTCGTGCGTCGGAAAAGATCTTTAGAAGTGAATGGAATCATCACATTGTCATTTGTTAAACAACGGCTTTTGCATGTCCTATGCAACCCATTTGATGGACGACGCACGACGGACGACGGGCGACGCACGACGGACGACGCACGACGGACGACGCACGACGGGCGACGCACGACGGCAGATATGGAATTCCATACATAACGTGAATTGTCGTTCTTCATCAAGCTTTCAAATTTTGTTCACTTTAATTTTGCGTTTGGGTCGTGTTTACATTGCAGCCTTGTTTTAATCAACCTTTTAAACTAAGCTAGCTTTTTGTCGTTGGTTGATGAGATCCAAAATAGGACATTTGGCTTCCCTTCAGTTTCGCACATTGTAGAGAAAGTTTTGTGCATGTACCGTGTGACCGACGACTGTTGCACGTCAGTGACCTGACGACTGTTGTGTGTATTTTGTGCAATAGATTTACTCAGAGGAGAGAGGCGGGTCCGCACAATGCCCTTGGGAAGTTATTGAAAGTTAGCGTGTAGTGCCCTTGGGAATTTAGTAGGTTTTAATTTACAATCACCTAGAAACCTAACTTTATATTCTCAACTCTTGAGGAGTCTCATCTTCATAAATAAACACACTTCTGGTTATTGTCATCCTCATATTTCAGATCTTCCTCCATGTTTATATTGTAGTGTGGCCTATGCTGTCTCATAATTGTTGGATTGAATAATTAAATCTAATCTGATATGCAATCATGGAACGTCATGTTGCACTGAATACATATATCATTCTTTGATTAATTTGTGGTCACTTAGCAGTTTCCTGTCCTCAATTTAAAAGTTGAGCGGACCCACTACGTCAAGGTGGCAACACCCCCCACGTAACCGTGACATTCCTATTCTGCAAAAGTGTAAGCACAAACGGGTTGCCTCATAATCTGTCCAACTGTCTGATTTAATCCAGCAGGCTCGTCATGTAATGCGCGCTCACTGCCAAAAATGCTCACGTACAAGCGATCACATAACAGTCAGAACTGCTCCAAAGTCCCCAAGAAATACTGCAGAGAAACCTTCACTGTTTTGATTAAGTGCTACACTGCTTATAACAACGTTGCGATACCTTTATGGCCAAGGTGACGAGGGTAATTTTGTTTTGGGCGACTGCGCTCCTGTTGCGCGTATCCACGTAAACGAGTTAAAACTTCAAAGAAGACGAACAAAAGCAGCAGTAAATTGAACTTGTCTGATCTAGGTACGGTTTCGATGTCGATGATTGCAAGTCTACATTTCGTTCGCGGGCTTCATACCTTGAAAATGTAGGTCTTCCCACTGGGTGGGTAGTAAAAGGCTGCGTCTATGTTATCAGGCAGGCCCGGCAACGCAGTAGCTATGGGTTTGGGGAAGCCTGTAGCTATTTGGCTCGTCCCACTCGCAAATTTCCAGACTTGACTCCCTGTAGGGAAATGCAAAAACCCTAAACACTCTCTCAATACCTGCTGTCTATATCATATGATGGCTATCAAGCGTTTTTGACAGTGTAAGATGGTATTGCCAAGGCAGCTTATTTCTGACATCAGCTGTAACGCGATGAAGTAGATTGTTTCAATATAAACATGTCCACAAGACGGTTACAGCTCAAGTCCTGTAAAGCCCTCCGTGCTTTCATGGTGCACGGAATCAGTCGGAAATATTGTTACCTCCAATTTGTGTACTCCACACCGCAATTCATATCGACGAGGGTTTTACTTACCTTCAAACACGTAGGTGCTTCGATCACGCGTGGTTGTCACCGCATCCACGTCGCCGGTGCAACCCGGTGGGTCAGGCGGCATGTCCTCCTCAGAGGAACCATAGGGTTTTTGACCTAGTTTGAGAAGAGCGGATAATTGTGGCTTCACAGCTCCTGACGTTACAATAGTATCCATCTAGATGGTCATATTAATTCGTTATGAATAGGTAGTGAATTGTATTGCAAAAAAGCATCACCAAAATGTGGGTAAAAAGCGAGTTAGCTGTGACAATTGACGTTTTGCGACAAACGTGCACGTAACTATTATCTACGTAAATATTGCATTCATGTGACATCAACGGTTTTACTTTCTCAGCTAAGGTAAGCATACCCAGAGTAAATATTATCAAAATTTGAAAAAAAAGCCTTTTTCATGTGCTCAGTACAGACTAGTTTGACTGAGATTGTAGTGAAAGGGTCTTCAATTAAAGTAGACTCTAATACGTTCTCCTTCATCAGAGGTATAAGATAAAAAACGGGTTGTTACTGAAAGACTTAATCAAAGCACCATTTCGGCTGTGTAATCTGTTGTGTGCGATCACTGTTAAGTAGCAACACAGGCTCACGTCAGAGACTCGTAAAGATGGCCATTGTCGCTGTGATGCGGCGATTACAAGCCTCGAGCTGGACCGCGAGAGGGGGCAATTTTCTTAGCAACAGAGGCTCCTTTGGTGGGAATTGATCTTTGCCGGTTCACGAATGACTAGGACATGCACTCATTGCTACCAACAAAATGAACACTTCCAACCAACATAGCTTTGTTGAACCGATGAGGGGGTGCTTCTGCTTTAGGTGGATAGCTTCACGAGCCCCGATCGCGAGTAATCTCGTAAAGAGTTATTGAACCGTAGACAAAGTCGTGGGCGTCTCTAGAGGGTGGGGTGTGACACTCCCATTAGTCAGTTTGGTTGGCAAAATCGTGGTGCTGTCAGCAAGAATGGAACAGGAAGGGGAAACAAGGAGGTGGTCACGTACGTGTAAGGTCAGCGAATCAAATCATCACTACACTCACGAATTTTTACCAACGGTCCGTATGCAAATTTAATGATGGCATCCCTCCACTGAAAATGACTCAGCTGTAGGCAAAGTCTGTTGGTATAGGTAAAGTGGAGATATACGGATACATAGAGAATTTTAGCACCTTCGCAGAGCACTGAAAAGGGGTCTTACCATATAGAGCCTGAATTCCTGCAATGTCATCGCTGTCTAACTGCATGTTGGGAACATATCCACTGTAGGTTGGCGCCATCAACGCACTACGGACATGGGTGTGGCCCAGGCCAAGGGCGTGGCCAAACTCGTGGGCTGCCACCTGAAAGAGGTTGATTCCTGCATGGAGAATTTTTAAAAGTTGAACTTTAAGAGAGATGAACAACATTTTTGCTGCTTCTTGGTTTCTTTTGCAACTTCGATTCGGCGAATGATTTTGTGTGGGTCATATCGATTTAAAAAAAACTGACTTTCAAGGGTTAATAATCCAAAAATTCAAATTGAGGATGCAACCGTCTTGAAATTTGGTGGCCCTGTCGGCGAATGAAAGAAATCTGTATGTAGACAAATACACATAAATTCCTGTATCATAGACATCCAGTGCTTTCAAGCATTTCTCATTAAAACTTAAATCAAAAGACTCACGATTGTTCTTCGCTATCAGTTTCCATCTCTGATTTGTCAATCAGTAATACTTAGCGCCGTTAATTAATGTTAAGACAATACTTCCATTGTATTTCCTCTGGCTTCCAAGCAATAGATTTCATTTGGCCAGTGGGCAATACTGCCATTGGCTCATTAAAACTATTCACTTTTTGCTACGTTAGACAGTCAGTGTGGGCATAAACTGATTGAAATATAGCGTTCACTTGAAATACCAACTTGTAACATATCCCTCCTTGGAAAAAGCCATCAAACAAGCTTAGAAGCTCACCTGCGTATGTATTCATGGTCCAAAGCTCATCTTCGTCAAGATGGACTCTCCCATCGTAGGGGAGAAATGCATGCGCCAGGACGCCTCTGGCGCCGTCGAAACTTGCCTGGTCCCCGTGGTCCCTGACGGCGAACCTGACGGCGATGTTGGCGGGTGTGTCGCCAAACACGCGCGTGAAGGTGAGGGATGAGACATTAGACCAGATCTGTTGATAGTGAAGGCAAGAATGATTAAAGTCCCAGAATGTGGCTATCCAAGTGGAGGGGAACAAGGAACAATCCAGCAACAAACTGAGAGCCATTGTTGGCAGTGGCAGCGATTGCTCATCAAGATCGGGTGAACCATGCTGTAAAATCCGTGATGCAATAATGTACAGTTGGTTGCATTATTATATTTCTTCATATCCGTCTGTTTTAGGCGTGAGGTGCATTCGATTCTAAGGATAAGTTTGGATGAATCTGGGAAGCTACCCACTAAATACTCTGAAAGCTTCATCTCAGCGTGTATGGTTAGAGTGAGCCAGAGCTTTGTGTTTGTATTGGTTTATAGGTTTTGTTTATATCCAGCTGCTTTCCACTTAGTCTACCTCGAGAGCGGCGACGAATGTGTTTTCTATGTCCTCTCTGTTGGTAATGTCGGGGGTCACGTTGTCGATGCGGTAGGTCAAACTACTGGTAGGCCATCTTCTTCCATAGGAATAGCGCCTCACCCGTCTGGTGGCCAGACTGCCGTCAGTTATGTCCGGCACACCGCAGCGGGGTCTGTTCATCATGGCAAGTGTTGCTTCGTCAAGTTTACCTGTAATGGGAAAACTCTTCATCAACGGACACGTGAAAAGATGTAGTTGCTCTTGAACATGTTCATGCTAATGTGAATTAGTCACTACCCATGTATTGACAAACAGATGACGCTCACAGAAGTTACTGGTCCAAAATGGATCTTAAGTGTATTTCTAGGAAAATCACCGATGTGTTTTGAGTTTAACAGGTTAACAGCTATTTCTTTTCGTTTGCATGAGAGGCATGACTTCATTTTCCGCAGTTTTGGGTATTTCTGTCTTTCGTTGTTTGCCGCATCTGTGCCCCTAGTGCCAGCATAGATAGTGTAAAGATACCTGTTCTTGGAAGATTTTTACATGCCTCAAAGGTAGAGTGGTATACCATAGAGCTACAACCCACAGAGCAATGTTGACATTGCTGTAGGTTACTCACACGTTTCATTCAGCCCAGTCATGAACTGAAATTTGCAAACGCCCCTTTCCATAGCTTCGCTGTTCCATGTCATTCCGTCCGAGGGCTTCCCTGGTTGCAAGTAACCGTACTTGGTCAGGTACCTCTGAAAATATTTCAACGTCGTATTTTGTCAATGACTAATTGTATCCCTTATCGAGACCCTCTTCCCTGGCTTAGCTTCGAGTAGATTTGTTGAATAGCCAGGACAAGACTGGAAACAAAAAACAGATTAGGTTGGAAGGCCTATCTGCAATTTTAAGCGGACTCTCAAACCTTTCAGCAGTAGCCTTTTTGGAAACATGTCTTCAAGATGCACTTATCATACGTGTAAACATACACGTTGGGTAAGGGCAAAACCCTTAGTTTAATTAACTTCTCTTCTTACTGGCCAGGCTTATCTATAACATATGAGTACACATTTTATACAGTAAAAAGGAGACTGATGGGGTAAAATTGAATAGTCTTTATTTTCTTTACTTAACGCAAGTCTGTCTGGGACTTTCACGATGTGAAAGGTCCTAAGGGGTTATTGTACCGCTTAATTAGAATTTAACTAATAAACATTGACAACTTCTAGGAAAAATAGTAAACGTAAGGGGGTGTACATTTCAAACATTCAACTTTTATGTGTAGGTATGGCGCCTTAGGCAGAATGCCAAAATTTTTTTTCGATTGGATCTCCTCCTAGCAGGGTCACGCTCATTTTCAAGGGCTCCCAACCAGACCTGAGCTCACCCATGCCAGTTTTTACTCATCTTGCCCCGTTAGTGATATGCCGGAACAGGCTGATGCACTTTCACAGTTTACGAAAGAGGGTCCAAATAGACAATCTCTAAATAGGCTATGTATTCAATCTGTACGTACCGCAGCGTCGCCCTCGGATTCAACAATGGTCGAGTCGGCCAGTGTGACAGCATAAGCTGTTATCAGCAGTATCATGGACAGCAGCATCTCGATTTGACCGATGAGCTATACTAACGAAAACTTGATCTGCTTGCAGCGCTACTACCACCGATGTATCTGATGCCTTCCTGGTCTTCCCAATATTCCTAAGTTTCGCTGTAAGTCTAGCCCGGTGTCTCCTGATCCCTGCCTTGGAGTGATCATAGTTTTCGGTACAAAAGGCGTACATGCAGGCCCTATTCCAAGACGACGTGTGACCTGGTATTGCATGAACCGCTAAACAAAGGATACATCATTATTCTGGCTCATTCGAGGATGAATAGATTTCTTCATGGGTTTCGTAAGGCTGTCCTTGCTCAGCCGTGTGGCCTGGGAAAATGCTGCGTCATCCACTTTTTTTTTCAAAATGAGACGGTACATATGTACACGGACCTTGCTCATGGACAGCAGATATAACAAGCTTTAACTTTTCATCCAGCATCACTGTTTGTGAACACCAATCCTTCGATTGTTCAAATGTAAAGCTGTTGTTTTGTGCTGTGGTGTGCATGTGTGGTGCGCGTAAACATTCTTTCCAAACAGTCATTAAAGACAAGTATAAAAAACAGTCACCGATGACAAAATTCAATACAAGCGTATTAGTTTTATTCTTGCATCCCGTATCCGATTAAAGGTGATTTTTATTTACTAGATGCGTGGTCTTAAGAAATAATAGCCACATAAAATATGTCATTGTTAATGAGGAGAACGCGTCTACATGTCGAACAAAAGCAGGTCTCTACATGCCTAAATATTAATACACGACCCAATTTTACAAAAATGTAGCCTTTTGCCAACTTCCTTTGAATTAAATAAATATATGTAGCTTCAAAATGTCACTGTCTTGGTTTTCAGAAAAGGTGTTTATCTCACGATGAATTCATAAGATTTGGCCTGATTTGAAATATTCTGCAGCTCTTGATTCGATGATTTTATTCTGTTTTCACCATACAGTACCATTTGTGATCTATTTTTCACCGCTCCGATTTGGTAACCAGCGTCAAAACACTGGTTTTCATTTTCCAGCTTCTGATGTTGCTCCGCCCTGCTAGCGGCTAAGCTACAGTTCTTTGACTGAAGCAAGGGAAAATGATATGAATAAAAATTTTGTGGCTTTAGTAAAAGTGCCTCCCGTGTGGTCCCACACTAAATGTTACCAATTCTTATGAATGTACAATCATGCAATTTAAAATAGCTAACTACAAAATATGCATTACAATTGTGCACTCTCATAAAGGTATAGTGAATTAATTACACGGAATGTCTTTTACACTGCCCTTAAACCTGTGCGATTTTTAGTACCTGTGAGGGCAGACAGAGCAATGCAGGGTGTATTAGCCTAATGGCACCTCATACGGTTGCACCGATGGTTGAACACTCTGCAAGGAGGTAAGATGGTACGTAGAAATATTGCTGGGCCCAGAGCGTTTGGGGTAATAATGGTGTAATTAAGCATCTTGAGAGTGTTTCGGTACTGGAATGCGCTTTAAATACGTCCTAATTACTACCTATTACTGGGGTATTTAATTGAAATGGTTTATGTTACGTCATAATCCATTAACATTTAACATTAACAGCCCTTATACCCCCCTTTTTACAATTTACACTTCTTTTCAGGAATCAGGAGCAGAAGAACAAAAGGCTTTTTTATCTCTTTTTCGGGAAGGGCGCAAAAATACCGGAAGAACGAATGTCGTGCAGACATAAATGTGGCTCTGAAAAGGATTACACATCTGATGCTCCCCCGCGCTCGGTAATGATTTCCCCGTAGGGCCTCTGCAAGTGCTCTGGGCCGGGCACCAGTGACGCACTCTCTCCACTGCCATCAAGGTCACTGCTTTCGTTAGATCCACGCTGTTGCAGCAAACACCAGCAGAGCCCCGTCAGCGTGCGGCCGCAACATCCCCACCGCCACAGGGTCTTCACTCCACCCCAGACGAGACTCCCTGTAACAGTTTATATGCCACACCAGTTTCATATTTGCCTATAGAGGGATTTCACATTAGCGCCGTCTGCGCATATCTGCATCGAATCCGAGGCTTTCTGTGTTGAACTTGGTCGCGCGAGCCTGCGGAGTCCACACAGTACATGGAGTATCCGGTTAGTAAGTGTGACGCCACTTCAGTCTAAACCACGCCCACTGCACAAGATACATGACCATCGCGGGTACGTCAGTTCGCGGTCAATTGTCGTTACTTTTCTTTGGATTTTACGTGTTGAGTCATCCTGAAAGACTCTTCCACGAAATTTTCAGCCTAAAAAGTCTGAATTTAACTTACCTTTATATATTTGTGTCTTGACTCCTTACTTTCAATCGTCTGATTGTATTAAGAACAGAAGCTGACACATACAGCCTCGTTTTCAAACGCGGAAGTGCGCAGATTGACGCTAAAAGCATCGTGTTAAGATCCCTCTATTTGAATGGAGATTCTCCGACTTGAACACAACGTCTTTACAAACCAAATGTACCAATATCATAAGAACGTCGCATTAGACAAAGCCACCCGTTTCTCCGAAAGTACCATGCACATTATATAAAAAGTATGGACTTGCAATGTCGTATTCAGCCACCATGGGTCACTGAGGCCACTTAAACTATTTTAGTAACACTGGGCCGAGAGGTTAACTGGTTATTGTTGATCAAATCCTTTTGGACAAAATTAGTTACAAATTACAATGATATGTAAGCCAGCAAGAGCATGGTATTCGTCACGGAAAAATGGCTGCCTGCGGCTTCATCAGTCAGTACAAAACTACATAGAGTCCAGACATTTTTATGTCGCCTGTGGGAAAAACACGTAACTGTTTGCCATTGGGGGTAACACTACCGAAAAAAAACAAGGGAAACATAAGTCGGTTTTTTTTCCAAAATAAAAAATTGTAGCCGCTAGAACTTACCTGCGACAAAAATAATGATACTGAGATTCAGCAGAATCAGGAAGACCGCCAGGGCGCCCTTCCTTTCCTCTTCAGACTGGCTGTGTTCATCAGTTGGTAACAGAAGCAGAGAGGCCGCCAACAAGTTGAGGAAGATGGCACCAAGAGAGCACATTTGTAGACGGTGCTCCGTTTCGTCCTTCATGGGCCGGACGTAGGCATGGACGAGAAGGAACCCGACAGATATGGTGATGGTGGCGAACATGGTGAAATGGTCGTCTGGCCCGTAGAGCAGCACAAAAAGTGTCTGGACGATCTTGCGGACGAGTTCGACTACTTCCCAGTACCAGAACTGTGGCTTGTAATTTTCGCACAAGAAGGTCTTCCAGCTGATCTTCTCGTGGCCTTGCCCTTCGGCAGAGCTGTGCAGGGTGTCTGGTGCTCGCCATGAAGTACTGCCGCCG